GATAAATATATCCTAATTTTTGGCTAATATAATTAAACTACCAATCATTTGCAAGTATAAATATTTAAAAATAATTGTATTGGAAGATAATATCTTATAAGCAAATATTAAACGACGGTCATATTTCGTTGTTTATCTTCGAACCCGACATCTGACGGGGTATTTACTGAGGTGTTTTTTTACTAAGCGATGGAAATGTCTGTCGGCAATAGTGTTAATAATTAATGGCTTTAAAGCCCTTTATAAGCTTTCAGAGAAAATCCTTTATACCGCCAAAATTGAATCCCTCCCGATCTTGCCCTTATCCTCTCTCCCCTCGCTCCTCTCTACTTGAAACCCTCTCCTCTCCCACTGAACCAATCTCCTCTACCCCAAACCCTCACATGTCCCTCAAACCCCTCTTTATTTTGTCCAAAACCATCGCCTTCGTCGTCGAACCCTTGGGATGCAGTTGCAATAGAGGCTACCTGGGAACACAATGATGGGATCGCGGCTTACAATGACTAGAAACTCCCATTTTTCTCCTTATTCCGCTCTTCTCCTAACCAAAACGGTTGAGGAAGGAAACTTCTCATCTTCATTTTCTTTTTTATTTTCATTTATTTTGAAGAATATGTTTAGGGTTTAGAGTTTAGCAGCTAGGAAGTTTGACCAAATATTTTCCTATTTTACTTGGATTACATGAAAGATGTATCTTAGTGCATGTTTTTTTCTGTTGATATCCTTCTTGTGGATAAAACTACAAAAAGAGTTTAGGAAAAGCTTAAATTATGGAGGTTGACGTTGGAGTCCAAAGGACTTCGTTTGAGTGGATTTAGAACTGAATGCATAAAATGTCATTTTAGTGGTAGTAGCTCTAGTGACAGACTTATAACTATGGGGCGATCAAATGATTAAAAGTTGTGAACGTTTTAGATATATGTGGCCTCTTATTCAAAGCGATGGTGATATAGATGAGGATGTGATTAGAAAATTTCAAGTTGGTTGGTTGAAGTGGAGGAAGGCATCTAAACTATTGTGTGATAGAAAATACCGCTTAGACTTAAAGAAAAATTTTCTAAGACGATGGTGGGATCGTCAATGTTCTATGGCACAAAATGTTGGCCTTTAAAAGTGAAGCAATGAAGAAAAAGGATTCTTGCAGCGACCCCACTTAGTGGGATAAATGTTAGATGTTGTTGTCGTCATTGTTAGAGACAAAATGCGTAATGAATATATCCATACATAAGGTTGTCAGAGATAAAATGTGTAATTCCTATGTATTTATATATCAAATACTTAAACTTGCATTTAATATAACTTTTGATGTACACTTAAAGTTTTACATGTGTTACGTAGGGTAGCTCTGTGACTTTAGTTAGAACAATGACAATTGCTAAAAAAATAATTTTGGATTGATTTTCTTACGAACTCACCTTCGGTTGGATTGAAATCAAGATCGTTTAACATCATATTGATGTTAGGTATGTCGAAGATTGTTAAATCCATTAAACGATCACTTTCTAATATTGTCTGCTACTTTAGCTACTCCAACCCTTTCACAGATATATTTGTTTCGTTTTAGTTTTCAATTGTAAAGCCATTTATAGACCTAATCATTCTCCTCCTCGCAGCTCTTTACACGATTAATTGCACACCTCAAAAATTTTCTTAAATTAAGATATTTCATATGATGTAAGAGTATTCACTGTTTTCTATATTACGAAATCTAATTTCCATTTCCAAAATAATAATTGACTTCAAAAATCTAATTTGTCTATTCCAAATTGGAAATTCACGTCAAAATCTAATTCTCATTGACACAATTTCCATTTTGACAATGCAAATTTGATTTCGAAGTGACTTTATATTTTGGAACTAACTAATTAGATTTCAAAAAGAATTTCTAATTTATGAATGGAAATTAGAATTTGCATTGGAGGATTCAGTGTAAACTCTTACATCATATGAAATATTTCCTTCTAAGAAAATATTTCGAGGTGTGTAGTTAATTGCATATAAGATTTGAGGAGGCGAGAATGCTTAGATTAATGATTGACTCTCCACTTTAAAAATAAAATACGAAAGAAATAAACACATGCATGTTTTGGTGTAGTGGTAGTGACTGACAATATTAGATCCAAAATTCAGAAAAATTTAAGACAAATTATTGATCTTCTATAGCCCCAACAGCTTTAGTAGGTTGTTAATGTTCTGACATCGAGCTTAATTGTGGTTAGCTCAAAATAAATTTGATACAAAATCTCAGGCTCAAACTTGTGCCATTTATTTTCATCCACTCTTTATCTGAGCCAAAATTAAAATCATTGAATTTTTGAGTTATTGTTGTTCTTCGAGCTATCTAAAAAGCTCAATCCTTTTATTATATGTTGATTATTGTCAGACTTGATCACCATTAGTTGCAAATCTATTATTTGATATACTACAAGTCAGATCGTTTAACATTTTAATAATGTTGGTTATGTGGAACATCATTAATCTCTTTCTATTTTCCAGCAGTTATGTGAAGCATCAAGTAGGTGCACATCACATCATATTAATGATAAGAACTTTGAGCAACGACACTTTATGATCTTCTCAATTGCGATGAAATACAACCTTTTATTGAATAAGATAATTTTTATCATAATATTTCACTCATTTATCTGAAAAATATCATTATTAGCTATTTCAGTGATATTTCAATGTGTGAACAATTTATTAGCATAGGATTTCTTATGAATATATTAATAGATCCATGATTAGAGAAATTGAGTGACTCATAAGGGGTTGATAGATCTTACTGGCGACCTATGTGCATCGTAAAAATCTGGCAAATTTAAGATGTAAATGGATACAAGTTTTATGTGAGATTCTGGCCCAAAGGAAAAAAAAATTAACTCTGACGTTTGTGTTAAGGCAAACAACAAATCAGACGACAAGATACACTATTATGAGATTCTAGAAGAAGTTGTTGAACTATTTTATCAGGACTCTATCATAGGAAGTGTATTCCTATTCAAATGTATTTGGTTCGATCCTGTTTCTAATCATGGAACAAGAGTAAACCAACTATATGATATCACCGAAGTGAAAGTAAACAGATGGTATACTAAATTTGATCCTTTCATTCTAGCCCGACTGACGAGTCAGGTTTATAAGCTTTTATATCCACAAAAAACAAGAGATAACATTCAATGAACGATTATCATTTTGAGTAAACCAATAGCCACCATTAATATTCAGAATTACATTAAAACAAACCATCAAGAAATTGAAATGACAGGTTTATGTTTTCCACTTGATGCAATCAATGAAAAGTTGAATCTAGAAATTGCTAGTAACGAATATAAAGAGGTCTCAGTGATGAGTATGATTCTGGTGATGCGTTTGAAGAAGAGATCATGACTACATCCTACAATCACTCTTCCAACAACGATGACTAAGATGAGTAAGTTCCTTTGAGTATTTAAAGCCTTAGTCTCATGAGTCTGTATATTGTACTTTTCGTTGAATTTCATATTTCACTTTATTGCTTACTTTTGTGTTATAGTTTTTAGTAGTTCAACATTGCACTTTACAGTTTCATCTACCTGTCTACTACATACTTAAGTGTTTAATGTTTATTACGTACTGTTCTGTTTTTAGTTTAGTACATGGTATGTTGTTATGCACACTAATTAATAAAATGCATTCTCTTGGTTGCAGAAGTCAACTAATGGCATAGACGGTCTCCCTCCCCACTCAGGGGGTGTGGAGCATAGCGTTATCTGACGAAAAACTATGTCAAGAAAGGTTGCATGACTTCAACGTCCGCGCCTACCCTCACACCAACGCCACCCCCCTCCTTCGCACAGCCCCCGCACCCGCACACCCCCCCGCCATCG